TTCCCAAATTTAATTAAATAAAAATAAACCAAAAAACCCAACACTTTTTTTTTTTTTAAAATGTTGGTGTGCCATTTTTATTCAAATAATAGAAAAAAATAAAAAAAAAAAAAAAAAGTTTTTTTTAATTATTTTTTTAATTATTTTTTTTTTTTAATTTTTTTTTTTTTTTTTAAAAAATTTATTATTTTTAAAAATATTATAATTTTATAATTATATCTTTATTTTTTTTATTTTTTTTTTTTTTTGTTTATAACCAACACACAAAACCCCACAAACAATTAAAACAAAAAAAAAAATTTTAAAAAAAATAACATACATTATTTAAAATATCTACTCACACAAATATAACATCAATAAAAATTTAAATTATTATTTTTTTATTTTTTTTTTACCTTTTAGTATATATATATATATTTTTTATTATAATTTTAATTTATTTTTGATGGAACCAAATAAAACTCAACAAGAATTAATGATGGAATTAGAAATAGAAGATGAAGACGTTATTTTATTAGATGAAGAAGATGATTCTTCATCAACTAGTAGTATTACACAAAATTTAAAGAATATTACATTAAACAATATCAGCGGTAGAGATACATTAAGTGGCAACGATAAAATAGAGTTAATGAACTCATTAAGAGAAAAAGGTTGGGGCAGTGGCATGTTGATTGATAAGCAACATTCCACAATCAAGTCTTATAAAGATGACAAGAGCTCACCATGGTACGAAGAAAGACAAGTTATTGCCACACTCTATAAAGCACGTGTATTACTTCACGAAATGTTATATCAAAAACTTAATCAAGAAAGACTTTCATCTGGCAATCTTTGTGTCGCTGAAATTCAATCTTTATTAAACACCCAAAAAGAAGATGTCGAAACTGATTGGATCGCCGAAATTCAAGAACTTAAAAGAAATATGGTTGCTGAAATTCGTCGTAACCATCTTTTAGAAAGAGATGTCAATAAATTGGATAAACGTATTGCATTATTAATCAAGCATAGATCAAATATTAAAGTAAATATAAAATTATAATATTATAAAATTAAAAATTTAATTTTTTTATTAATTTTTTTCAAATTTTTTTTATTTACAATTATATAGGACTTAGCATTAGAACAAAGTAAAAAAAATAAAGATAGAAAGAAGAAACATGATGATAAAGCAGAAAATATTACATTAGATCAAAAACAAATAGAATCATATCAAAATTTATTCTATCTTTTACAAACCGAACCACATTATTTAGCTAAATTAGTAACATTAATTCAAGCTGATCAGATGGAGGACTTTTTAGATACAGTATTTTTAACATTATTTGGTGATGCCTTTACCCCAAGAGAAGAGTTTTTAATTTTAAGTTTATTCAGAGTATGTTTTAATTATTTTAAAATTTTTTTTTTTAATAGATATTAATATTTTTATTTTTTTATTTATAGTTAGCTATAGGCCAAGAAATGTCACGTATTAAATCAGCTGGTGATTTGTTATCAGTCGAATCAGTCGTACCAAAAATGATTATTACATATACTAGAAGAAAGCAAGGTCACGAATTTTTAAAACAAATTATTGCACCAATTTTAGAGAATAATGTTGTTAATGCACCAGATTTAAATTTAGAGTTGAATGCAGTACAAGTTTATCAAAATATGATTAGCGAACAAGAAATTCAAACTGGTGCTAAATCTACTTTAAACCGTGGTCTTGGTGAAGATCAAATTATTCAACTTAAAGAAGTACAAAATATTTTAGAGCCACGTGTTGAAAAATGTATTCAAATTTGCGAACGTTTCTTTACTGGTATCATTCAATCATTAAATCGTCTTCCATATGGTATTCGTTGGATCTGTAAACAAATTCAACATATTGCTCAAAAGAATTTCGACTCTAAACCAGACGAAATTGCTAAAGTTATTGGTTATTTCGTTTACTATCGTTTTATAAATTTAGCTATTGTTACTCCAGATGCTTTTGAAATTTTAGATAAAGAGTTATCAATCACTTCAAGAAAGAATTTGGTTAATGTAAGTGTTTTTTTTTGAAAAATAAAAAAAAAAAACTTATTTTAAAAAAATATACTAATAATTTTATTTTTTACAGATCGCAAAAGTTTTACAAAATTTATTTACACTTAAAACATTCCAAAATCAAGGTAGTGAACGTTGGATGCAACCATTAAATTCATGGATTTTATCAAAGACCGATACAGTTAGACAATATTTAGAAGATTTAGTTCAAGTTACTGATCCATCCGAATATTTAAGAGTTGATAAATATAATGAATTAACATTAAAGTTAAATCCAGTCGTTGTTATTTCATTAGGCGAAATTTCACAAACCCATCGTCTCTTAATTAATCATCTCTCAGCACTTAAAATGAAAGAAAAAGAAGATCCATTAGAATTAATACTTAAATCATTACCATCACCAATTGAAGTTGTCGAAGAAAATGACCGTGAAATTCAATTAACTCTTATCAATAGATTCAAAGAAAATATTGAAAAAGAAATTTCAATCTCAGCTTCATTATTAGCCGAAACTAAGGAGTTGGTTATCTCTGTATTTAGATCAATACCAATTCAAGAAAAACAAAATGCAGATAAAAAAGATGATCTTCTTGCTATTCTTAATTTTGCAGTTGCACATGGTAAACAAACAAATAACAACCAATTATCAACAAATGCCGAAAAAATTATAAATAATTTAAAGAAAATGGAAGCTGAAGGTAGTGTTCAAAGTGAAAATAATCAATATGAAGGTTTCATTAAAGTTATTGCACTCGAAGTTATCAACCGTCAAGAAATTAGAGAACAACAAAGAAAAGAAAGAATGCGTCTTACTATTGCTCTTCGTGACCTTCGTAAACATCAATCTTATCTAAACGATCAAATTTCACATTATACCTCTTATCTCAAAGATGTTCTCCTTCATTACGGTCCAAAAGATAAAAAGAAATCAAAACCAATGAAAATTTCATTCAAGGAACTCACAAAGAAGGGTGTAATTGTCGAATCAGATATTCCAAAAATTTCACACAATTCTACAAACTTTTATATTAGCTCAGATGCTCCAGGTATTTTTGATATCGAAGCTAGAATCGGTGTTGCTGCAATGGGCTCAATCAGTCTTTCTCTTGATGATCTCTTAGATAAATCATCTGCTGGTATACCATATCTCAAACTTGAAAATATTGTTTTGGATGTTAATATGACTTTACATTTATTAAATAGACATTTCTTAAAAAATATTCAATAATATAGTAATAGTACATAATCAAATTCCATTCAACTTATTTATTTTAACCAAAAAAAAAAAAAAATTAAAAAAAAACAACCTTTTTAAAAATATATTGTTATTATTTTTATAATAACAATTAATAATAAAATAATAATATAATAATAATAATCAATTATAATAGTAATAAAAACAATATAAATAATATATAATAGTAATATATATTATAATAGTATAATAACCAATATAATAGCTTAAATATTATTTTATAATATCCTAATAAAAAAAAAAACTTATTTATTAAAAAAAACCATATTATCAATTTTTCTATCACCACACCTTTTTTTATTTAATTTTTTAACTCGAATATTGGTTTTTTTTTTTTAAAAGAAATAGTGTTCTATTAATTGGTAAGTATGGTTTCTATTGCACTACAGACTTATGCTCTGTTAAAGATGGTTGAAGATTCACTCTTGATGATTCCGTATGTAGAAATGGAATTATCTGCACCTTAGATCGATGCACAAATAGAAGATATCAATTTACACCCAATGAACTATTATGTGACGATGGTGACTCTTATACAATTCAAAATTGGACTACTAAGTAATAATAAATGTTGCATGTTGATGGAAACCCAACTATGCCCAACTAAGAAAGCTATTGGTTCATTATCTGTCATTATTTTATGTCAAAAACAAAAGTGAATCATCATTAAATAAATTATTTATGATGACTAGTCTTCTTTGTTAAAATTCAAATAAATATCTTTAAAATTTTAATTATTTATATCATTTGGTTTTTTTTTTCTAATTTTAAAAATGATCTATTTTTAAAATATTTCTTTTTAAATAAAAATATTTCCCATAATTATTTTAAAAAATTAGGATCATTTAATTACACTTTCCTAAAAAAGTATTTATATTCACCCCAATACATCACACAGATAACCACCACAACCACACATATTTTTTATTTTTTATATAATAAAAACTTAATAATCGAAAAAAATAATAAACCCCCACCTCCATATAAAAAATTTTAATTCAATTTACCATAATAATAAACTATTATTGTAATAAAAGTGGGTTAAGTATAAACTACAACTTTATTTTTTAATAATTTTTATAATCATGATTTTAAAGAAATGCTATATATAATTAAATATTTTTATGTGGGTGAGAGTGGGTTAAGGAACATGAATTAATAACATATATTTAATAATATTATTTTATATATTTTAAAATAATAATATAAGACAGGGAAAAAAAATTTAACTTGATAGAATAAATACATAACAAAAAAAAAAGTATATTTAAATAAATATATTTTTTTTTTTTTTTATTTTATATAATTTTTTAAAAAAAAAAAAATAAAATCATACTTAACAATAATAAAAAATAATAATTATTTCATAAAACAATTAATAATACAAATTTTTTTTTTTTATCCTATTTAATTTGAATTGAATAGAACAACAGTACTATGTATTAAATTATATTCAATAATAGAATTTTAAAAATAGAGTATATAAAGTGGGTTTATAATATCTTAATCGAAACCTATTAGTATTTTCTATTTCCTTTTTTTTTTTTTTTTTGTTTTATTAAATATCTAAAAATAATTAAATTTAATAATATTAATAAACAATCAACAACAAATATTTTCAAGAAATTAAATAAAAATAATAATAATAATAATAATAATAATAGTAATAAATAATTAAATAATAAAATAAAGATGATTTTAAGACATCAATCAAAAAATAAAATAAAATCAATAATAATATGTTTTTATATATATCTATCAGTATGTATAAAGGGGAATAATGCATTTATACACAATTTCTTCCCCGGAATATTAGTTAAAACCAACTCTTCAGATTTTGTATATTTAACTTTTCCCAAACTTTTGTTTGATTATTCGTCACCATTTCAGGTAAGAATAGATAATACTTTATTCAAATACTATTATTGTTTAACTAATAATGACTAAAACACAGGAGGCACATTCATTTTGTGAAGATGCATCAGACCAATATCCATGGAAACCAAAGGATGATGTTTTTTTTGAAGCAGGCCAAAAAAAAGAATATAGTTTCGATTGTAAAATTTTAAAGCCAAATAATGTAAAAAAAATGTTTGGTTCTAAATTATTGTAGGTTTAACTATTATCATTTATACAATAAAGAAATTTAATACTAATAATGTTTAAAAAGATTTAATGTTAGTGGATTTTCAGGTACAGCCCCAACTTGTTGTTTATTACACATTGATAAATCAAAAATAGAATATTTTTATGGATATAAAATAACGATTCCCGCAAACCCAATGTAAATATCAAACAAAGAAAATAAATAATATAATTAGTTTAAAAATAATTAACTTTTTTTATTTTATACAGCGGATTTTCAGATTTATATTTTGATGTAAAGTTTTGTCAAGCTACAGCATTATATTCAAAAGAAAAGGTTGGCCAAGGTTCAATTTTTAAACAAATATTAGTATTGGATGTAACACCCTCATTTTTGGCTTCATCTGTATACATATTTTTAGGAATGGCTGTATTCTCATTAGTATTATCCTGTCTTATAATATCAGCAATCATCCATAGATGGAAATCATCAGATAACATCAGTATAACCGAAGACAGAGGATATCGAGGTAACAAAGATATAGAATTGAAATCAATTTTATGCGATATTACATATAAAACAACAGAAGAAAGAAATCAATATTATTTAAGTAAAATAGATTCATTTTTTAATTTTAATGAATATAGACCCAGTATTTTACCAATAGGAACTTATGATAGTTCAAGTGAATTAAATAATAACAACAATAGTAATAATAGTAATAATAGTAATAATAACAATAGTAATAGTAATAAAAATGAAAATAATGATTATATATCAAATAGTTTAAATTGTATTAATAACAATAACTATCACAACGACAATAATAGCTATTATAATGATTTAAATAATAGGGATAATAGATATAAGAATGAAAATCAAATAAGCTACTCTCCAACATATCATCACAATCATTATAATGAATATATATTAAATAGTAACATTAATTTAAATTGTAACAATAGTAGTGGAAATGGAAAACTAATTAATGTGGGTAATAATAGTAATCAAAACTATAACTATAGTTTTAATAGTGATTATAATAATAAAAATATTAACTAAAATAGCAACAGTTGAATTAAAAAAATTCTGGTTTAATAAATAAAAGTCGAATATCTTTTTTTTTTTTTAAAAAATTATTTTATTTTTTTCTTTTTTTTTTTTCCTTTTTTTCTTTTTTTCTTTTTTTTTTTGTCTTTTATTTTTTTTATAATAAATAAATTATTTTAAAATACATGAAAAGGATGATGTATTTTAAAAAAAAGATACATCTCTTATATTAATTTGTTATTATAATTACTATTGTTTTATGTGGGAGGTTTTAAATATTAAAATTAAAAAAATATTTATAATTATCAATATTACTATCGAACTTTTTTTTTGTTTGTATTATTTTGATAATTAGAGATATTTTATCTTTTAAAAATTTTTGTTGTTTTTTTTTTGTTATTGGTTATTATTAAAAAAATATATTTTATTGATTTTTGCAGGTTCCCGAAGAAGATCTATTTCTTTTAGAATTTGAAGATGATGTAGGTGGTGGTGGTGGTGGTGCTGGAACAGAGGAACGTGATGATGAGTTAGATGTTGATGATGAATTATTTGTTGCATTTGATGTAGTATTTGATGTTGATGCAGGAGCTGATGAAACGCTACTTGAACTATTAGTATTATTAGTTGTAGTAGTTGTTGTTGTATTATTTACATTGTTTTGTGGTTGTGGTTGTGGTTGTTGTGGTTGTTGTGGTTGTTGTGGTTGTGGTACAGGTGTAGCGGGTTGGTGGTATGTATAGTTTGGATGGAAATTTTGTGCAGAGTTACTAGATCTACCAACAGTGTAGTGACCTGGGTATTGATATCTGGCATGTTGTTGATTAAATTGTGGATAAGCAGTTTGTTGTGTAAATTGTTGAGAACCATATGGGAAATAATATTGTTGTGATTGTGGCTGTTGTGGTTGTGGTTGTTGGTATGGTTGTGGTTGCTGTCTTTGTTGTGTTGGTTGTGTTTGTGTTGATTGTGCGGAATTTTGTGGTAATGCTGGTAAAAATTTAATTCCATCCTGAATTTGTTGCTTCCACTCCTGATTTTTATCTAAAATTGTTGCTTTGTTATATGCTGCTCTGCTCTCTTCGAAATGTCCAAGCATTCTTAAACATAAACCTTTTCTCATATATGCCTTTACTTTTATAAGGAAAAAACAGGTTAATATTAAACTTATATTTTATTATGTATTATTATTATTTAAAAACTTACTATTATCAGCATTTAATCTAATTGCTTCATCACAATCATCTATAGCTCTTCTAAATTGACGTAAATGAATAAAACATCGTGATCTATTATTATACAAATATGAATTTTTTGGATCGGTATGTGTACATTTATTAATTGCGTTGTTATAATGTAAAATTGCTTGAGCATATTTATTTTTATAATATGATGTATTTCCTAATTCTTTTTCAGATTCGACAGTTAAACTAGTTATTTTAAAATATTGTTAATATTTTTTTCTATAATAAAACTATATCATAAATATACATACCTTGGATCTTCAACTACATGTGGAGCAACTGCATTACAAATTGCTCTAATTGTAAAAGCTGGATGAACTGGAGATGGGTCTTTCGAACATACTGGACATTTATCTGGTTTTGATTCTAAACAGCTATTTAAACAAAACTCGCAAAATGTGTGACCACAACCAGTATCGCAAGCGTCCACAAAAGTATCAGCACAAATGGGACATGATAATAATTCTGAATCAATTAATATTTCTGACATCCTCTTTTACTATATTATTACTATATTATTTTACTGTATTATTATTATTGTTATTGTAGTTATTAAAATTTAAAAAAAAAAAAATTATATGTGTATTAATATAGTATTTTTTAATATACTATATATTTATACAATATATATTATATAAAACTAAATATCTATTATATATAATAAATAAATTATAAAATTTTAAAAATTATTAATTATTTTATTTATGTGTGAGTGTGTGTGTGTGTTGTATTTATGTAATTTTTGTATATTATTTAATATATAAGAAAAAATAAATTTTGGAAAAATAAAAAAATTTTAAAAATTAAAAAAAATTATTGTTTTTAAAACGAAAAAAAAAAAAAAAAATTTTAAAAAATAATTTTAATTCTTTTTTTCCTTTTTTTTAAGTTATTTTTTTAATATCCCAATATTTTATTTTAAAAAAAGCTGAAGAAAATTATATGTGTTTGTGTTTGTGTTTGTTTATTGTTGCTATAATTAAATAGTAATAAAAAAATTTGAGGTTATAACACACTACCTTAGAAAAAATATTGAAGGTGATACAAAAAAGGGAATTAAAAAAAAAAAAAAAAAATTATTAATTAATTTTATTTTTTTATTTTTTTACTTTTTTATTTTTTTTTATTTATTTTTTATTTTTTTTTTTTATATAAATTATTTGTGGTAAAAACAATGTGAGATTTATATAAAAAAAAAATGGTTGGGTTTTATTTGTTTTTATTTTATAGTTATAATTGTGGTGTTGTTGGTATTAATTGCAATAAAAACATAATATCCAAAAAAAAAAAAAAAAAAAGGAAAAAGAAAAAGGGGGTTAATTTTTTTTTTTTTTTTTTTTTTTTATAAAATTAATTTTTTTTTAATTTAAATATTTAAGTAAATGGAGCACTAAGTAAAAATATTTTCCATCAAAAAGGAAAAGAAAAATGTTCTTTAAGACACAAATATAAATAAATAATTATAACACAGTTTGGTATTGCTATTTTTATTATTAGAGACACTTGGTATGAAACAATAAATTAATTAAAATAAAAAAATTAAAATAAAAACTCTTCTTTAATTTAATTTATTAAAAAAAAGTTTTAAATTGTATTAATATTTATTTTAATATTTATAATATTTTATTTTTATTATTTTAAAATTAAATACGAAATTATAAAAACACAAATAAAAACAATTACATTTTTTTTAATTTTTTTTTTTTAATTTTATTTTTTTTTTAATTTTTTTAAATTTTTTTAATTTTTTATTATTTCATTTTTTTTTTATTAATTTATATTAAGATCTTCAATTTATTATTTCTTTTAATATCTAAAGATTTTTTTTTAATTTTTGTTTACACTTTTTAAAAAAAAAACTTTTAAATCTAAAAGAATATTAATATTAGTTTAGATTCTAATTTAGATTTTAATTTAGATTTAATTTTTTTTTTTTTTTAATCAAGATCTAAACAAATATGTATAATGATTTATACAGCACCAAACTAGGTCAACTTCATTATTCAAGCTATTCAAATGCATCAAAGAAATTAGCTTTTTTTTTAGACAGTTGTATTTCTATTTATGTATGTATTATTAATATTCTTTTTTTATTTTTTTCAAACAGAAATACTTAAATAATATATATTATTTATAGAGTTTTAAAAATGGGTTATTAAAAAAAGAAACCATTAAAGTTTCATCAAAAGATTACAATAAAAAAGAATATAGTATTGGAGAGCCAGAGGCACCAGTATTTCCAATATTACGATTACCTAAAGATGATACACATTTTACATTAGGATGTTTTTCAGATGTTTACTTACCATCACTAGGTGGTGGCTTTCAACTTTTGGTCGCAGCAACTTCAAACTCAAATGTTATTGTATTTAGATCACCAGATATTTCATCAACATCAATTAATTATACATGGGAGCTCGTTTTAAATGTATCTGATATTTTAAATCAGACATTACACGATTACGAATTTAACAAACCAATAAAAGAAAATAAAACAGAGTTTATGTAGGTTAAATATTTTTTCATTTTTCATTTGATAATATATTAATATTCCATTTTTATTAATAGTGACAGAAATATTCATCCAAGAGCATACAATCACGATACTGAAATTGTCTCTAATTTAGAGTTTAAAAAGAGATCAGAATGGTTAGCTTCAAGAGCATTGGGATGGTCGAATGTCATGAAGTGTTATTCATCAAACGAAGAAAAAATTGAGGATTTAGAAGGAAATGAAAAGATGATATTTTTGACAGTAGGAACAAAAAGAGGATTGGTGTTATATAGATGTCTTTTACCAGACTTAAATAGTATTTTCAGCGAGTCAAATTTCACATTCTTTAAATTAATCGAAACCCATGATTGGGTTGTAGGTCTAAGTTGGAAGCCAACCTTTTCTATTGACCAGCTTGATGAAGAAGGAGCCGAGAATATTAGTGGTATAGTTGCTTTGGCTTTAGGTGATGGTAGTGTTATATTACAAACAATTAATAATAATGGTGAGGCAGAGTTACTAGAAACAATTGTTCAAAAAGATAGTAACCCAGCATCAATTTTAGAATGGGGGCCAATTAATGTAAATATCAAAATTTTTTTTTAAACTTGTTCTAGAAGTATTACTAATATAATAACTATTTTGTTTCTTATTAATTTAGGAAAGTGGGGAAAGTTATTTAATTATTTGCAAAGGTTTTGGATTCTATTTATATGATTTTGAAAACAAGATGTTATCAAATTTCATTATTGCACATAGAGATAAGATTACAGGTGCTTCATTTTCAGATCATTCACATTTTTTAACATCATCATTGGATAATAATATTATTGAATTTCACATTGAGCCTAAATTTTGGAGCGGTGATAAAATTACTCCATCATCTGTAAATTATATTAAAAGAGAAGAAAATAATAGTTTAGGTGTACTGTCAGTTTTTTCCTCACCAAATAGATTAATTACATGTTATTTAGAAGAGTAGGTTAATATTTACATACATATATATTTTAATCAATATATTAATTTTTTTTTTACAATATTACTCATTATAGATTAGTAAAGGGTAGTAAAATGTTTGAATCCAAATTGGATGTTTCTAGTTTTACAATTGCGTATAAAATACCAGCATATAGTTTCCAATCATTTAAATCCTCATTCCTTCAAAGTAATTATTAGTTATATTTAATGTTTTATTTTTATTAATACTAACACATTAAATATTTATTAGAATTTAAAAGTGAAGAATCAAGAAATATTTGGGACTATTTTATATACATTAATATATATACAAATGAAGAGATTATTGAATTTATCAAAGAGTTGATCGAAAATGAGCCAGATAGCAAAGTGTTGCATTATAAATTTATTATTAAACTATATTATATATTAAAGGTATTGTCAAATTTAAATTTGAGGCTATTCTTATTATTTTTATTTTACTAATTTTTTTTTTTTAATTTAAAACTATAGAGAAAATTAAAAGACTTTAAAGATGATTTTATAGATGAAAAGATAATAGCATTAAAGTTATTTATTAAAGAGAACTATGTTTTAAATTTTCTAAAATCTTTTATTAAATTTTGTTCAGAAGAAACCGAATATCAACTTTTAAATTATCAAAAAACATCAGTTACTTTAATGCTCAATTTTATTAAATCAATACCAAATGAACATTCCGAGCTTTGTGACCAAGTAATGAAAATTATTGGGAACCTTGAAGCTTTTGAAGTTTGTGTTTATTGTTCCAAGGGTAGGTTAATAAAGATTTAAATTATATTGGAATTATATTTTTTATTAATGATATTTCATTTATTTTTTCAGAAATCCCAATTGGAGAACAGGTCGAAAATGTTATTGAATGTCCAGAATGCCACAGTGATATTGAAAGATGCTCAAGAACATTTTTACTTATTAACACACCAAAAACATTAAATTGTGACTATTGCTACTCAAGATCATTAGTATTTTCAAATGAAGAACCAGTAGAAAACCCAACAAAAAAAGTTTTGGACCAAGCAATTTTTGAAACATCATCGATGCGATATGAATTTTCATGGGTTAAGTCTCATGACTCTGCTTGTGTATACTGTAGAACTCCTCTTAATGGTTTATTGACAAATGATAGAGTAATAAATTATAAGCAGATTAAAAATTAATAAACAAATAATATCCAATAAAATTTTTTTTTAAATATAAAATAAAAATGGTGAAAAGAAATAATATTTGTTTTTAAAATAAATAATTTTTTTTTTTTTATTTATATATTTTATTTTATTTTATATTATTTTATTTTATTTTGTTTTATTTTATTATTATATATATTAGTTTGGTTGTTGGATTATTTTTTCGATGGAGCTAAAGTATCTAATTCTTTTAAAAATAAATCTTTTTCTTCTTGTGAATCTGAAAAGAATAAAATTACATGATTTCCATGACCTAAAATTTCGAATGAATATTTTGAAATAGTTCCATAGCATTTTTGATTATCAGGTAAACTTCTATGAACAATATTTTGTAAATAAACCAAATTCTTGAATAACAACTTGTTTTTACTCTTTTTAACAATTAAAAGGATGTCATTGAATAAAAAGTAGGCACGTTCTTTTTTCTTTTCAGAGTCAGAGTCATAAACAGAGATTGAACCTTCTTTGACGAGATATCTGCCATCAACAACAAGATTTAATTCTTTTGGTTTTGGATCGAAACGATTTGAAATATTTGTAAGAGTTTGGATACGAATCTTTTCATTTTCTTCTTTACGTTGGTTTTCATTTACATCTGTGCACATGTCTTGCATTTCAAAGTAAGAGATACAAAGATCATCATAGTCTGGATGGGATGCCTTGGTGAATTTAATAATTTCTCTTAAAAGTAAGAGATAACGAGTAATTCTTTGAACTGGGGTTATTAAAAGTGATTGAAGATTGTTACCAGTGATACCGTTACCCCCACTCCAAAGTGATCTTTCTGAATTACGGAGGAATGTTTTGAAAGAGTTTTTGCTGTTTGATAATTTTTCGATGGTGCTTAAAATATTTTGATAGGAAAGAGTAAAGCTGTTGTAAATGGATTTAAATTCGTCTTGTTTGATAATATCCATTAAAACATCGCCAACCTTTGTAACTATATTCCAATTTTCAATTCGTTCAGCTAAACGTAAATATAGTTCTCTGTTAAATTGGAGGATGATTTTATGTTTACCAAAAATGAATTCGATGTCACTACGCTCGATTAGTGGACAATCATTGTCAGCTAAACCCATTAGTGGAGTGGCAAAGTTTTCAATTAATTTCTCTAAACCTTCTACATATGACTTTTCGGTACTAATCAATTCGCTGACAGCTTTATAACGTAATTGTTCACGTTTAAATTCCTTTCTTGCTTTCCAACGACGGAAATTAGTTTGAATAACGAGAACAGCAGATTCGGTGGTATATACAATTTTTGGTTTCATTTTAACAAAGACTTTCTCGAATGAGGTAGATAATAAGTTGATATCTGATTGATCATTGAGTCTATTTTTAAGAGCTGGTGGAATTGATGGGATGACTGTTGTTGTTGTGGTTGATGATGATGTGGTAGTTGATGATGAGGATGATGTGGATTTAATTGGTGTGCTATGGAGTGATTGGGTTTTCTTTTTCAATTCCTCTGATGATATTGATTTTTTACTTTCAATTGGTACAGATTGGAACGAAACAGTTTTTGATCTAGCCTTAGTATTTGTAGAGGATGGTTTTTCGATGTCACTAAAATCGATAATAGGTGGGCTATTATTGGAGCTGACTGGTGGGCTAAATAAGGTGCCCCTCATAGATGGATGCCAATCATCAAGATGAACTGACAAAACTCTTTCATTTTGGAAACGTTGTTGACAAATTGGGCATTGAACCTCAACGGTTGTTGATGAGGAATTTGAGGTTGTAGTAGTTGATGATGATGATGAGGTTGTAGTGGTAACTTTAGTTGGGGTTTTGAGGAGCCCAATTGATTTAGGATCCTTATTAAAGTTCATATTTTCCAAATCTTTCTTGACTTTATCTTTATCACTTTGGGAAACGGATTTTCTAGAAATTACAGGTGATGGATCATTACTATTATTAGTTGTTGGGATATTTAAATTATTATTAACAAATGGTTGTTGGACTGTTTGGGATGTTGGTGTTGGTGGTTGATAATTTGTTTTTACTGGTTGGAAATCGGCAAATAAATCTGGGAATATATAATCTGGTGAAGTAGTAGTCGTTGTGGTGGTTTGAGATGATGAGGATGAGGATGATGTTGTTGTTGTGGTCGATGGAGGAGTTTGAGAAGCTTTTAATTTTTCTAACTCTTCTTTTTGTTTTTGCATCTTTTCATTATATTCTTGTTTTATTTTATCCTCGACTTCTTTTCTAATCTTTTCTTCGATTTGTTTCTTATATTCCTCTTCAGAGAATGATGTAGTTGGTGATGGCATGAAACCATTATTAATTGGTTGTTGTGATTGTGGTTGTGTTTGTGTTTGTTGTAAAGTTACAGGTGATTGTATAAAATTAATATTATTATTTTGTGAAGTAATTGGTGATTGAGTTGGGTTATAATCTACAGTTTGTTGTTCAAAAGTAAAAAGTGATGGTGAGTTTTGTTGTTGAATTGATGATTGTTGGAATGACGATGATGATGAATTTTGTTGGAACATTGAATATGAATCAAATTGATTTTTTTGTTGTTGTGGTTGTTGGATCGATGAGGATGATTGTTGTGAGGTTGTAGTTGTGGTTGATGATGAGGATGATGATTGATTTACAGTATTTGTTGGGGCTAAAGAGTTTAAAAGTGCAGAGGAGGAGTGTTTTCTAGGATCAGCAAAAGCATTATTGCCAGCAAGATGTTGAGGAATTGGTGGAATTGAAGTTTCTGGCTTGGGTAATGATTGAGCTGTTATTGGTGTTGTCTGTTTATTTAATGAGCTTGATGGAGATGGGTTTGAACTTGGTAAACTCGATATTAAGTTATTCAAATTATTGCTATTATTATTGTTAACACCCATTGAGGCAGATGGAGAAGTAGAAACTCCCATGCTTTGTTGTTTGGGTGGTGAAAGAGAGGTATTAGGCGATGGTGATGATAAAGATGAAGTTGGGGATTGTTGTGGCATATTTTGTGGAATATTTTGTAAATGTTGTTGCATTAATAACATATTGTTTGAATTGTGGTCTAATGATGAAGTTGGCGATGAATAGTTAGCTCCATTTGGATTAATATTTCCTCCTGATAAAGCACGCTGGTCAACCATTGGATTCATATTGTTCATATTGTTCATATTCATACCCATTTGATTCATATTGTTATTCATTACCATGTTATTACCATTATTACCATTCATGTTATTTAATTGATTTAAAACATTCATTTGATTAAGTTGGTTCATTTGGCTAATATGATTTAATTGGTTTAGCATTGCAGGATTCATCATTATTTGTTGTTGTAACTGTGGGTTTAGAATCATCTGTTGTTGTAATTGTGGGTAATTCATTAAAAGCTGTTGCATTTGTTGTTGGGACATTTGAGGCTGTTGTTGAAGGTTTGGCATTGAATTAACTCCGCTTGGGTGATTACTAAATTGTTGTTGGTTTGCCATACCCATCATACCGGCACTATTTATCATTTGTTGCTGTTGTTGTGAAGGAGTATTTAACGAATCTAAAATTTCCCTATATTTATCTTTATCGCTCCAGTCAGCTGCTTTATATTGTGGTTTCTTTTTCTCTTGTTCTATTGAAAGGAATGGATCATTATCTTTAGTTGGGAACCATCGATTATTTTTATCGCCTGATAAAACTGTAGAGGGTTGTTGCTGTTGTTGTTGTGAATTTTGTGATTGGGCTGGGGAAATATTACTACTATTATTACCACTATTCGATTTTTGGGTTGGTTGTAAAATTTGATTTGATAACATGCTGCCACTACCAGTATTATTAGGTATTCCCATACCATTATTATTCATCATCGTATTTTGTTGTGGTTGCATCATCATTCCATTCATCATCTGTGGTTGTATTATTCCCATACCATTATTATTCATCATCGTATTTTGTTGTGGTTGCATCATCATCCCATTCATCATTTGTGGAAATTGTTGCATTACCATTTGATTTGGTTGAGCTTGTAAATTTTGTGGTACCAATGGTGATTGTAATGGGCCACCCCCTCCATATTGAGAGTAATATACTTGTTGTGAGGAATATGATGATTGATTCATGAAAAATTGTGAATTGTTTTGTTGTTGTTGCAATCCTATAGGTAATTGTTGATTTTGAATATTTAAATTATATTGACCTAAAAACATCAATTATTAATTATTATTAAAGTCAAAATAATTATAAAAATTAGTATCTATATTTTAAATATTTAGAAAAATTAAATAAAAAATAAAATTAAAAAAAAATATTTTCTAACCAATCGAAAGAGGTTATTAAAAAAAAAAATAAAAAAATAAAAAAATAAAAAAATAAAAATTATATTTTTTTCCTAACTGTAATTTATTGAAATTAATTGGGTATATTTTTATTTGTCTTTTTTAAAAAAAAAAAAAAAAACAAACAAAAAAAATAAAATAAAAAAAAAAATAAATAAAAAAAAGAAAAAGAAAAAAATAGTTAAAAGTTTTATAAAACTACATACCATTACCCTGTCCTTGCATTTGTCTATTTAATAAGTAAGGGAAATGACACTATTATTACTTGAACCAAAAAATTATTATTATAATATTAATTAAATCTAACAATTGTTGTTATGAACCATTAATTTATCTAATAAAGAAAAGAAATGGAATTATATAATATAAATTAATATATATATAAAAGAAATAAAGCTATAAAATTTAAAATATTTATTACTACTACAAAATAAAAAATATTATTGAAAAAAAAAAACAAAAAAAGATATAATTAAAAACCCCCTAAAACTATTTATTTAAAATTATTATTATTTATTTTATTATTTGTGAAAACAATTGTGTTACACAAAGTTGCACTAAAGGATTGTTGGTTTTAATATTAAAGAAGGAAAAAAAAAAAATTTTAAAAAAAAATAATTTAAAAAATAATAAAATTTTTTTATTATTTTTTTTAATTATTTCAAAAATTAAAAAAAAAAAAAAAATTTTAAAAAAATAATAAAAAATAAAATTTAAAATAAAAAAAAAAAAAATGGTACACACCACACAAACACTAAACCTTGTGATAATACAAGTAATATGAGCTATACAAATAAAAAAAATCAAAAATAAATTATAGTGTGTGTTTTATAGTTTAAATTAATTGATTTTTGATTTTTGATTTTTGATTTTTTTTTTTTTTTTTTTTTTTTTTTATATATTTAAATTAAAAAATTATTATTATAAAAAATATATATATTATTACAATCCCAAAATCATATTTTATTAATGTTAAATGATTTTATATTTTATACATAAAAAGAAAAAATAAAATGTAATATAAAACTTTACATTTAATTTTAATACCATTAAAATAAAAAAAATTGAAATTATTTTTTTAAAAAATTAAATTAATTTATATTGGGATAATTATTATATTTGTTGTAGTACTACTATTTAAAAATGTTTGTTATTATGATGTTAATAATAGAACGTGAGCATGTAATATTGCTGTTTCTATATATGACAGTTATGTTTTTTTTTATTACTATATTTTATTATTTATAAAAATAGTTATTAAAACTATTGAGCGAGTGAAATGATTTAAACAATAAAATTTTATATATTTAAAATTGTAGTGTTGTGTTTGTAGTACTTATATAAATAAAATAAATAAATAAAAAATTATAATTTTATAAAAAAAAAAAAAATTTATAAATAACCCACCACACACAATTGTTTAATTATTCTTTTAAAAAAAAAAAGAATATTATTAAAATCTTATATATTATTTTTTTTTTTAAAATAGAACACCACCACTTACTACTACTAATGCCTATGGTGTAAAACCCCCTTTTACTTTCATTAAACACACTTATATTTTAATGTCAAATATAAAACACACAGATTTTGAAAATAAAAAGAAAATTTTAAAACACACAAACGAATATTTTTTTTATTTTTATTTTTATTATTAATAAAGTTATTATTTTTTACTGTGAGAATATAAATATATGTGGCATATATAGTTTATTTATTTAAAAAAATATATCTTTTGGAAAAACAAACAAAACAAACTAAAAAAACAATTATTATAATTAAATTTAAATTAAAACAAATAATAAAATAGATAAAAGATATATGATAGATTTAACAATAATTAACAGTATAAATAATAATAAATGGTTTTATATTTGTTAAAAGTTCTTTTTACTATTGTATAAAGAGCTTTTGCTGTTAATTATTTTAAGTTTATTATAAATGTTGATATCTATAAAATTATTTCCTTTATTATGATTATTTTTTGAATAATGATGATTAAATTTTATTTTATTTTATTGTGAAATATTGAATTCTTTAATTTAATTTTAATTTTATGAAAAAAAAAAATTAAAAAAAAAAAAAAAAAAAAAAG